CCCCCCCCCCTTTATCCACCATCTGTGTTTCCTGGGCAACAGAGGGCTGTCTGCAGGCACCAGCCGCTAATGCCGCAGCCGCCTCTCCTCCAGACGCACCGCGGCTCCGGCCTGCCTCCACACTCTCTCTAACTTGTAACAAAGCCTGTCCTTATTTTTTCGCTCATTTCTTCCTGGCACGATTTAAGTGTCCAAACCCGTATGGTTTGGACACTTAAATGGTCTCAGACAAAGGAATTGACGGACAGAAAATGGCCATTAAAGGTTGCAGCTTTGCGTTAGTGAAACTGGATTAAATATTCACCATTGTGAGCAAAGACAAATGCTAAATATAGAGACAATAGATCAGCAACTGGGTCAGTTCTAAATGAGGAAAAACTGGAAGCATGCTGAAGGGGGGTAATTATATTACTAAAATTTTGCAAAAAAATAGCTGTTGATTCAAAGCCTGCCACCTTTTTCATCATCAGTGGTGGTGTTTGGTCTGAGGGGCTAACTGTGGAGCTGGCATTCATTGATATGTCTGACAAAAGAAGCACAACATACAGGACTGTTTGTTGACATTAGACAAAATAATATATTAGAAATTAATACACAGAGACTTTCCGTCCCTCCATCTTGAGGCAACATAGTGCTCTGGAGATAACTTTGCAACTATGCAGCGTTTCCCAGCCCTGCTCCTCGAGGCACACATCCCTGCGTATTTTCAATGTGCATTAAACACCAGATTTAAATAAATGGGCCATCTCTTCAGCTGCTTAAGCTCTGTGGAAGGTGGATGGAGACTCACCCGTTTGAATCAGGTGTGCTGGATTAAGGAAACGTGAAAAAAATGTTTCAAGCTGTCTTGACAAACATGGCTCTTTGGCACAAGTTTCCCTGAAAACAGCATTTGTTTATATTTAGAGTATCAAAAATATTTGAATTGTACTTTTTTCTATACATTTAATTATGGCATTGGCTTTGTCCACTCTGCACACCACACAATAGAAGCCATTTGTATTCACCTCCCTCTGTTGATTTTAAGACATTACTGTGAATGTACTCATTTTAAATGTAGGCATGAAAAAATATAGCTCAGTTTGTATGGCAGTTCACTTGTGACTTTATGAGCACAGCAAAAAAACGTTGCTTTTCTTCTGGATTGGGCCCTTGAAATGAGAGCACCTACCAGCAGGGGGCGATAAGCACTTGCGTTCAATAGGTTTGTCCATCCTCGGTTGCCATAGATTGGCATGCATCAACATCCTCTGGGATTTGTGATGGCGCTAATTGGAAACATATAGAGTCGTTTATGTACCAGGGGGGTTTGGCAGGGCTCTCCGGCCTGTGCCGGGTCACCGAGCACCTCTACCTGAGTAATGGCAGAGCGGCGAACGACTCGTCCCTGTTGGCAGGGAACGGGATAACCTGCGTCATCAGTGTTACGGAGACCAAGAGCCGCTCCCCTTCTCCGGGTGTGGAGTACGTCCACATCCCGGTGGCTGACTCTCCTTTGACGGCCCTGAGAGACCACTTCGACGCGGTGGCAGATAAAATAAAGGCCACAGCCGAGGGCTGCGGCCGTACGCTGGTGCACTGCAACGCCGGCGTGAGCCGCTCCGCCGCCCTGTGCATGGCCTACCTGATGAAGCACCGCGGGGCCTCGCTCCTGGAGGCCCACGGCTGGGTGAAGGCCTGCCGGCCCGTGGTGAGGCCCAATGCCGGCTTCTGGAAGCAGCTCATCCGGTATGAGACGGAGCTCCGTGGGAGCAGCACCGTACGAATGGTGTCGTCTTCCTTAGGAGACATACCAGACGTGTACGAAGAGGAAACCAGGGGCATGGTGCCTCTCTGAGGGGACGTTTTGTTTCTCACTGACGGGGGTGGGAAAACAGGCCCTCACGTTCAGTGATATCCCCCTGAAAGCAGCTTTACGTCACGGATGGACAGGCTGAGTTAGTTCCTTCTGGGCCTGAGATGGGTTCTGAGCACTGAGAGAAATTAAGAGTTTATAGGTGAACTTATATCCACCCCTCCCCACACACACCCACACCCATTTTTTATTTTTTACACCCAATCTTTAAATAAATATACATACCCACATTTATCCATTTGTGTTGTTGACTTCTGATTTCAAACTGGTTCTGCTTAGCTTGAACTGAAGCCAGAAAAAGAGAACTAAATAATCTGTTCCTCCCTGAAGTCATAATTGTGGTGCACAGAAATGTTTCTAAAAGATTTGGCCTTTTTTTTTTTTACACAGGAAGAAACATGTCAAAGGAAATACAGTACCCCTCTATGTTAGTGAAAAAAATTCAAGGACTTTTTCCTTTCTATATCCCCATCACAAGCAGCAGCACTGTGAACAAGTAATTGATCCCACATCCAACCGCTCCAGCTGCTGTGACACTGTCCACATTAAAGAACACCAGTTCACGTGAGAAAGATTTACAGAAAAGCTTTTATTTGGAACATATACTCAACTTTCCAGCTTTCACTTCCAGCCAGCAGGTTTCATCCCTCATAAATTAAAGTTATCCTAGATCCTTCATATTTCTTCATTAGTATCTAATATTGATGCTTAATTTTATTGAGCAAACAGAGGAATGTCTTATAATATGTACACTTTTAATTTCCTTTGTAAATCTCATCATAAAAACATCTTCTTAGATACCTTAATACAGACCTGAATCTGCCAAAGAGCAAGGAAATCATTTCTTTTTATACATCCTGCTTTCTTGCTAAAAAGAAAGTGTTACAGAACCAAACAACACAAGAGACTTACATTAAATCACAGTAATATCCACAATTTGGCACAGATTATTTTGGAATGAGTCACTTCTGAACAGAAACGCACATTTACGTAAGAGGAAACACTAAGTCTTACGTATTAGAGGTGCTTTCCCATAAAATTACAGCACATTCAAAGCAGTCAAAGCAAAGCAGTCCCCTCCAACAAATATCTTTTTCTATATAAAAAAACAAGATATCAAACAAGGATACCAACCCATGAAGTGGTTTAAGTTCAAATGATTCAACCAAAACAGGAACAGCTGGGCAGAGACAGCCAGCAACACACTAACACAACTATCAACTCAATTTACAGAACACACTGTTTTACAGGACACAATATGCATAAATTAACAAGCATTTACACAAACATCTGATGCTGAGAGATGGCTTTTCTGTGCCATATGAACAATACTGGATCCCAAACCGCTAAAGGAACATGAAAATATCCTGAGTCAGGACCTGAAGCAGGCCAAATGAACAGATCGCCTTGAAAGTGGAATAAAAACACAGGTGCAAAGGCTGCATGCTTACCTCTCCCTCGTGTTACTACTTCTTCTCAATAAGGCAACAGTGTTATCTGCATAGTCATGCAATTAACATCTAAAAGGTACAAAACCAAAGAATGTCCTTTTAAACGCAGGGTGGATTTAATGTGCTGTACACCCAAAACTTGTCCCCCACCAGGATCTACTCTCCTCCTCCCCAAGAACCCGTTCATTCAGCCGGCCCAGGCAATAGCTTGAGATCCCGTGTCTATCTGGAATCACATCTGGGAGAGAACAACAGAGTCAAAGGTGAGACACTATGTGAAAAGCTATCAGAAATGGAATTTCTTCATATCTGTAACTCACTTGCTGCTCCAGCTTCTGGTAGTCAGTGGATTTAGGCCGACGAGTGGATCTGGATCTCTTCCCCTCCAAAACAAAAGCGATTATCTGCCATGGAACAAAAAGAAAGAAGTCATTTTGTGAGTTCACTGTTACGGTAGTGAACTGCTGAGCTTCTCAGTATGTTTTCAAACAAGTTACTACGATGACGACCAGAGGAAACAGAGGACAACATGTGCAACATGAACAGCGGTTTTCATAACCGCTTGTCAGGAAACGTCTGTACGCTGAAATGACAGCACCAGTACCTTGCGCTTGTTGTGGTAGGTGATGTAAAGCACTGCCACCAGTACGGCAGCGGAGACCAGGTAAGCAAAGAAATGACTGCTTTCCTCCCCGTCCTCCTGTATTCCAGATGGGTTGTACAGAATTTTCACCTCACTTGCTCCGTTTCTGGTTTGCACTTCTTTTGGGTTTTCAATCCCGTCCTCACTGCTCTCTGATCCGATCTTACTGGTGCCGTCTCCTTTCATTTCTATCTCTGCCTCTGTTTCTAGCTCTGACTTTCCCTCGTCGGGGTTCTCTTCTCCATTTGCATCACTAGCATGTTGATTTTCTGTAGAACCTCCTGGCTTGGGTTCATTTTCTGGCTCTGCATCAGTGTGTCCATCTTTTCCCGCGATGGACTTCCCAGAATTGTTGCCTGGAGGAGTTGTAGGTCCTTTCAGCACATCTTCAATGGTTCTATTTTTGTTATTTAAATCAATTACTGTTGCACTGGCATTTTTATCCTCTTTAAGAGCTTGTGTATTTTGGGCTGCTTCTCCTGAATGCTGGGTGGTCTCATTGGCAGATTTAGCCGTGCTGCCCCCAGTTTTGTTCGCTTTTACCACCTGATTCTCTTTTGCAACAGATGTGTTGTCGACTATGTCATTTGCCAAACTGCGGGGTTCACCCGGGTCAGGAATTGTTTCTGGAGCTGTCTGAGCAGGTGCTTCGCCGTCCGTTTGTCCTTCACTTTGTTGTTCTAGAGCTCCTGTGAATGAGAAAACCATCAATGAATTCTTTGTAAATTTGCAGAATATTATATAATCTCCTGATAACAAGAAATGCTGATGCTGTGCATTTGTTATCTGCCATGTAACGTCAAACAGTGGAAGTGTTCTCGGCTTTAGTTTAGCTTTCTTGATTACTCAAACCATCAATTTTAGAACGAGTTTTAACTTTAGGAGCTGAAGGGCTTTATACACCTACTCTGAGATGCATAATTGCCACACTGAACATAAAGCCCAGATGAGTGACAGAGATTTCACTGCCTGTTTTTTAATTATAATAAGTTGACTCTGTATAAGTCTCCAGTTGAGATCAGCCACCATGCGATTTCAATTTTCCAGTCCCACGTAAAGGAAAAAAGCAACAGCTCTCTAATGCGCTTGCACAAGCTCACGCTGTTGATTTATTTGACTCAGCCTGTTTGTCTGGATTATTAGATTACATTTGCTGTGATCCGGATCACACTACAACCAGGAAGTGGCCTCTGTCCTCTGGAAAATAGCTTTAAAACACAAACGCTAGTTATCCAGGCTTGACTTGTATACAAAGTTATATGGAACTGAATGGCGTTTTTGTTTTTTGGGAGTTTGGTATTGGCTTCAAACGTTTCCAATGTAAAGGAAAGTTGCTACTTAATATCTAAAACTGTCATACATTTCTGGTGGAGGTGAAACCGACTAAAGATGTGGCCATCAACTTCCCCTGTGATGACGTATGCGGATCACTACAGAAAATGTCTATAGTCCTTATTAAGGCTGGATCTGAGAGCAAGCTGATATCCTGTACCATTACAATTTCTATTCAACTGTCTGATAAATGGATATTATTTTATTCAATGTAACTGCAAGAAAAAATGTCGGCACAAGGAAGTGACCTGTAACATAACTTTGGGCAAATAAATACATGCAACGGACAAAACGGCGCTCACCTATGACCAAGAAGCAGTACAGCAATATGGAAAATGCCAGAAACGCAGCCTTCATCGTGTCCACACAGTCAGGTATCGTAAACCTGTCCAAACGAATCTGTTTCGTCTGTCAGCTCTTCTTACACGGCTCAATCCGCGCTGACTAATGCTGTTCGACAGGTTGGAGGTTTGGTGAAAACCCGCTCTGCTTCCGTGTACAAGCTGCCCTTCTTCGTTTTCTGCTGCAATCAGGGCAAAAGTGGCGCTTACTGCCGCCTACTGGCTGGTAGCAGGAACTACAGAGCGGCGAGCCCCGGAAATACATCACATTACATCTTTTGGTGCCCCAACAGTGTATTTCTAAATAATTTGACACAAATGTGATGAATCTCTTCAGTAAAAGTGTCATATTTGGCATAAAAAATGGTTCTGATTGCATTTTCATATTAAAATTAAAAAAAAGATAAGAATACTTGTGGCTGCCTTTCTTGGCCAATTATTGAGCTGATTGGCCATGAAAAATCAGGCACGTCTCAGATATCATGAAATGTTTGACAGTACATTGAGGAAAGTCATACATTTTACTAGCACGTTGTCTTGGCAGATTTGTTTGGCATTTGCGGAACCCTTTGTATTAATACAGCTAAGCGCCTATCAGCCAGGTGACTGGAGCAGTTTGCATCTGCCAGTGTAGAGAAGCAGTGAATCATTAACTTGCAGTCAATGTTTTTTCGTAAATCTACCCAACACATGAGAAATGCAGACAACGGAGAGCCACTCCTCAGTTCACTGTGAGGATGGAAAGGGAAAAAGTGAGGATTGATGTCTCCCAATTGCACTAGTGTCACTATTTGACCTCATCAGCAGATGGCAGTATTGATATACTTAGCAAATTTTTAATTACCATTGTTCAACATTACAGATTACGCAGATTTCTATGTATGTCATTGGAGTCTCTATAAACAAACTTATTCATATATCTAAACGTAACCTCTTATTTACCTCAATTTGGAAGTTGTTCTTCAAAGTACAGTGCAACTTCTCACTAATAGAACCTCAACAGTCTCTGTCCTGATTACTAACAATATTGCAGACGTTACATTCAGAGGTGTCCTCAGAGATGAGATAATGATCTAAATGTTAATTGGAGGTGTTTTACATCTCAGCAGGGTGTGGGAGACCTGTGGGTTCTTGTAATGAATATGTTTTAATTGTGGCAGGCTAGTTGACATTTGAAAAGTCCAATGATCCCCCTCATTCTTGACACCCATTTGCATTTCCATCTTTAAGGTCAAACGGGTATGAATAATACATTAAGGAGGTTCTTAAGCTCACAGCCAGCCATACCTGTCGTCACAAAGACACCAGCTGTGTCTTGCTAAGCCCAGTGAATGTTACAGAAACAATCAATTAATATCACTTTAGGAAACCACATGTGAAGTTGGCACAGCATCCTGTTATTAGTGGAGATATAAGGTCACACATTCGATGGCAGGTATAAGATCAGCTCTCCCTTATCATATTCATATGGTTGACATAAAACTCTCTTGTTAATTATAGTGTGGACTGAGTGGTGCGGATGAATGTTTTCATTTCTACGGGTCCATTGCTGAGTTTTATTAGCATGAATAAAGAAAAAAATGAGTCCCCCCCTCCCCCCAGTGAAATCAAATGGTTAACCTGTAATAAATTCAAGATCAAAGGGGGAGCCCCCCCCCAAAAAAGGGAACCTTGGCAAGAGATTGGAAGAATTTAATGAGCAAAAATTAACATGTATTAACTCTGACCCCGTGCTTACATGGCAGATGTTGAGAGGAGCAGCATGCATCTAAACAGTGGGTAAACTGAAATCTGATTTGATTTCAGTCATTTTAGTAGTGAGAGTAATGTTTTATCTCTCGTGCAAATCTTTTCAATAAATGAAGAAGAAAATAGACATAGAGACTCAGTAAGGGGTTCGAGTTTGACAATAAACACACACCCGTGAGAGGCTTGAATATTTCACTCCACGTATGGCTGCGAGGAGACAAATTTTCTGGCTGTTTTGACAACTCATTACCTGTAATATTACTGACGGGTTGGTGGAGTGGCTCAGAGTAGGCAGCCGTAGCACCAGAGACTGTGACTTTTGCCTGAAACGATGTAGGACCGAACAGCAAACAAGCAATGACTTATTGTGGCTAATGATTGCTCAAAACAGAGCCGGGCAGACCTGACAGTTCGGCACTTCTATCAGTACCAAAACAGAAGCACACTCTCTTATTGTGGTTTAAGAGTCTGCATCAGGAGACTATTTTCTTTCACTGACCACAGATTGCATCACAAAACATTAACAGTAAATGAACGACAGATAACTGTTAAGTCATTACGTTATTTGTAAGTTTGACGTGAATCTTATGTTCCTCCCTTGCAACATTTTAAATCCCTCCACTGTGCATTAAAACATTTAATGCATTTAGTGCGTACTGTCACTATTAATTAAAAACTCCTTCCTTTGGGCTCCTCCTATTTGAAAACGTGTCCATCTTCTTCTTAATGACAGCACAGCTTCGACTTCTACAATCTCAGAAGTGAAAAATGACCTCTTCTGCTTTTTCTGCTTTGATATTACCGTCGAATTTCATCATTACTTATGACATTCACATCAAAATATGTGCAATATTAATTCTCCACAGGTACTTGTAGATTAGATTATTTATTTCATTGCGAGGATATTTCATTTTCAGAGGGCATTGATTTTTCAAAGTTGGAAGCTAAAAATTCGGTTTTCACATGTGTCATTGACTTCATTACGAAGAGAAACATTTGAAAAATGCTGCCTTCAGCACAGAAGAACGACAACAGGGATGTCCAGAGTAAAGAAAAGCAGACCTGTGGTCATTAGATGTTTTTAACCAGCCAGTGGTCATCTGTCTGTTTTAACAACTAAGGTTCTCCGTTTAAAACAATGCCCAAAAGAATTATCAGTGGCTTACGAATGATCAAAGTTCCTCCTGAAAGCAAGGGATATTACATATTGGAGAGTAAAATTTAATTTGCTTTGAGGTCTGAACTCTGGCAATTATACCGTTGCAAGGTGCTCTCGGCTAATGAGTACAGCAGATTTCAAAATAGGCTGACCCTGTCCCTCCACACCCTGAAATAATCCAAATGAACAGAGGCTACCGATGTACAGTGATGGAGGAAAAATAACTTAATGTCTGGTATTTCAATATAAGCAGGTTACAGAACTTTCAATGGGACCTCGGGATATTCTCATATTTTACATAAACTTGCTGAATATCATGTCACTTTTACATAAAAAATCTTTCAAACTGAATTATTAAAGTCATAAGTACAACCCCCCTGAAGGTATAATCTTGATTAGGTCATGAAGTTAGTCATTGGGGGGTCTGTGAGTGGGCTTGTCCAGACCAGTCTCCCTCTGCTCCCACATAAGTGATCCATCCTTGGCACCACTAGTCATCTGCAAAGCCACCGAAAACTGTAACCTACCTTGTGTATTTTTCACTAATTGAAATGCCTAATGAGATCCCAGGGGCTCCATCCCATTACCTCTGAGTTAATTAAAGTCTAAGCAGTGTGCCAAACGGTGAATAAAGATGCAGTAAAAGTGCAAAAGGAACAGAACCAAAGCAGGGTTTGCGTGCTGGAAGGGGGCTGACCTGCTTTTCAGTCATTGTTGTGGGATGATATACTCCAAGACACAGCAGATGTCTATAATTTTTTTATTTGTATTTATTCTGGGCTTCGAATTTAGTTACCCTGCTGGTTTTAGCACTCATTTTCCAGTGTGGTTAGCCTAATTCTGCTTTATTAAACATTAAAGTACTCACCACCAACAAAAAGGTTTGTAATAACAAGTTTCTATCCAGAACTGAAGCAAAACATTAGCATTAAAAAGAACAACAGGTGTGCATTTGTTCCGTTCTAGTTTGGCTGGTTTTATGTTACTCCTGATACTACTCTACTACTCTCACAGACAGATAGAATGAATTCCTTCTGTGTGACTAATATTGGGAGTAATCTGGAGTATCTAACTCCAAACCACAATAAGTTGTTAAATAAAAATGTCCTCATTAAACAACATAAACATAAGCAGACAGAAGACAAAGACATACTCTTTAAGAAACAATTTCAAATGTTTATTTAACATGTCAAAGAAGGGACACACACACACACACATGAATTGAAAAGGGGGGTTGCAATTATTGGCCAGGGCTAGGACTTTTAAGTTCATACTAACATTAATTAGGGTTTTGGCTAAAAATGAAGTCTGTTTTTGTTTCTTTTTGCTTTTATAAAGAAACGTTATGTACATTGGTTCTTTTATACAAGAGGTTCATTGGATAAATGCATCAAAAAGAACCCAGTTCTGCAGTAAACTTTACAAAAAATACATTTGTTTTCATTGAGAGATGTAGAAAAAGGAGGCAGTCAAATATTGACCAATAATATTTCTTCCTTTTAATTATTTAGAAAAAAAAAAGTTGATCTAATACCTATCTTAAAGAAAAGCAATATACAGCAAAATAAATGAGAGGAAAACTGCTTCTGCAGACTCATTCAGTTGGTTTTGTCACCAAGGAGAGGGGCTGTGACTGGAAGAGGGAATGATGGGAATGAAGGGCTGCCTGGTGGAAGGGGGAGGGAGGGGAGAGCATGGAGGGGTGCAGAGAGGTGAAGGGGATGGGCCGGGTGAGGATAGGTGTGTTCGACTGGCTACCTGAGGAACCAATGGGGATGGAGATAGTTGGATGGGAGGAGGAGGAGGAGGAAGAAGAGGAGGAGGAGGAGGAAGAGGAGGAGGATGTGGATCCAGAGGCCTTGCCGGGTAGGGAAAAGTGGTGGTGCATGCGTCCCTCCGGCTTGGTGGTGAGGGATAGCGGCTGGGCTTGTTCAGAGTGAGTGGCGGCGGGCGCGGCGGGGGAGGCCAGGGCGGCGGAGGGCGTGGCCGGCGAGTCCAGCATGCTTCCATGAGAGGACGCGGGGCTGTCGCACATCTTCTCCGACGGCAGGTACTGCATGCACTGCTTCTTACTCCTGATCGAGAAGTCTGGGGAGGACACAGAGGAGCAACGAAGAGGCGGAATTATGGATCTGAAGCCGGCTTCACGTCTGTCCCACAAAGCCGCAGCCGACAAGAGGTGAATGGGCTTTTTATTTCAAAATGAACACGATGCGAGGGCTGTTTGTATGTACTTGTAAACACGTCACAACAAGGAAAGTGAAACAGGATGTTGGGACATATTCAAATGGATGCATGTATGACTAAAAAAAAGGGAACATGACATGAAACGTGCACTCAGCTGGGTTGGACTTTTGTGTTTGGCACTTTACAGACATACCTGCCACTATTAGCACTGAACCTCATAAGCTGCTTGTCAAAGTACAAAAAAAGCAGGAAAAAAGATAGAAAGTGCTTGTGAAGAAGAGAATTGATCTCAGATATGGCACAAAAATAAAGAGAACAAAGGAACAGTTTTGGGTTACATGTGAGCTCTGTGTGACCAATAAAGCTCCCGATGTTAGTTTTTCTTTCTTTTGATTGTGAGGTAAAAGAATAAATAAACAGTCAATCAGAAAGAATGCCTCTTACCCTCTGGTTTTGAGTCTGGTTTATTTTCTCTCTTCCTCTTTTTCCTTTTCCCCTGTACAGATAAAAACAATTGTGTTAAAAAAAGAGGTTTTCATGATTGATCAACTGCTTCAGATCAGACCCAATGGGAACTCATTTGTTTGACTAAAACTGATCATTTTGAATGTGCCACTCACATAGTTATCTCTTGCTGACCATCCTGGATAGAGCTGGGAATGGAGCTGCCTCTCTTTTCTGGCCAGCTCGTAGTATTTGGCTTGTTCTTCTCTTGATAGAGAATGCCACTGTGGACCAAGATGAAAAACAGTTGAAAACATGCGCACACATGTACGCTTACAAACCGACTCACATCCATGTCAAAACTCCTTACCCGTCTTCCAAGGATCTGGTTTATGGCAGCACTCTCTTTCAGAGTGCACTCTGCCACCACTTTGGCTCTCATCTCTTTCATATAAAGCATGAAAGCATTCAGGGGCTTCTTGATATGAGGCTTCTTGTCCTCTTCTTTCTTGGCAGGAATAGGGGACTTCCTGCTAATTCGAAACATTAAAAAAGAGAAGGAACGGCAGATATGAGCAAAAATGGGTGAATTAGGTGCAGGCCCAGATTTTGACAGCTCTTTGAATTTCCTTACGCATGCATTGAGGGGCTGATGTTGTCTCCGCTGGGCTCCTGTTTGATGGCAGGCGAGACGATGGCGGGATGGGGGATGCCAGTCTGGTGGAGGCTGTGCGGAGGAGGGGTCACCATATGAGGGGAGAAACGGCTGGACACCAAACTGGGAGGGTGAAAGGAGGCAAGATCTTAACTGTCAGGGTTTAACAGTGAACCTCTGTTGAGTCCGTCAAAAAAAAAACAAGAAAAAGTCTGGCTCATTTGGCACATTACTGCCCTGCCTTAGCCTCCAGGTGAAACTCACTGTGCCTACTGCCTCCGTCTAGACTAAATTCATACACACAATGTGTTCCATGCTTGCTTTTTGTTCAAATAAAGACTTTTTCAAAAGCCCCTTTATTCGCCAACGGCTGAAGAAAAATGGAGTGTGGTGTTACCATGGTGATCGCATGGCAGTGACACCTGAAACCTCTCTTCTTGCCATGTTCCAGACCACGGAGGGTTTTCTGACAGCCGTCTACTTCGAACACCTTTACAATGTGTCTCCCTCAATGTCCAATTGTGAGTACAAAGGAGCATTGTAATCGACAAAAGAGAAAATTAAGCTCTATGACCCCGTAGCACACACTTGAATTAATGTAAGACTGGAAAATGACTCTTGTTTTTAAGTGCTTTAACTTGTTAGGCTTCAATGAGACACAATGCACAATCTAATAAGATATATGCTCTACTTCATGCCAACCACCAGCCAATGATTTACCAATGGACACAAAAAGGTAGTAAACAGCTAGCTTTAACTTTTCATTAGATTTTCTCCGTCTCATTCCTTATCTAAAGAGATTATACGTTTATATTTTTTAAGTTTATATATTTTTTTTTAAACATGACAAGTAATTCTCAACTCATGTTTAATTTTCCTTCAAAAAAATGATAAACTTAATAATTCATGCTGTATAAACACGGAGATGCCCTCACATTCCCTTGATAATAAACCTTAAGCAGCAGCATCTTTGTAAACATCCTATTCATTATCCGATAAATAAGTCATGCACTTAAGCTTCATTTTATGGAAAAATCTGCCGCCTAACTTACATAGCTCACATAAGATTTGTAATTCCGACCTTACAATGACATATTCTTGTCTTATTGTCTGATTAATAAATAATAAACACAACATACTAAGTAAGACATTTACTCCCAACAACTTCTGCTAAGCGGATTTCTTATTGCAAGTCATTTAAATGTAATCAGAAGCTGATATGGTTGTGATTGGTCCAAGGCTTTGCCAGCAATTTCATAGCAGGAAAAGAACAAACACACATCCACGCGGTATGTTCTGATTGTTGTAGGTTTATATCAGGATGGAGCTACACACTCTATTGATCACAGAGGCCCTTCTGAATATTTCATCTCTTACGAACACCGGAAGGCTCGTTACAAATCTTTCCAATTTTGACAGAGGGTCAGAGAGTTTAGTCTGATGGGACGTGTGGGCTCAGATAAGCTTTGATTTGTCGTAATCGATTCTCAGCCCTTTCATCTCAGCGCAATACGTGTGTGTGTGTGTGTGTCAGAACTCAGGCCTGACCATAGAAGTTTAGCTCTGTGAGAGAAGACAGGAGAGGAGTGCTGAATGCCAATAACACATCCAGTCTATTTAGGACGCCGGGCCTGTCTCTCTGACTTACACCTTGTATTCCTTTGTAGTCTCGACACCAGCGCCTGCTCCTGATCTGACGGTGTTTTGTTCAAGTCCAACTATGTTATTTAATTTGACTTCAGATCCCAAATATGAGACCTACTAAAATCATTTACACAATCTTTGCGACAATGCGAACAATAGAAGTTTAAGACTCCCAGCCAAGCATTTATTTTGTTACAGATTGGCAAAGAAAGCAGGTGAAATGTGATTACAGCATGTCATGGAAGCAGCACATATTAGATGTCTCCCTTTGGGAAGGTGGGGGTGTTGCTGAACATGATCCACTCACCTGGACATGGATGCATTCATGGCCAGCGCTGGATACGGGTGACGGAATCCCCCCGGAGGGATGGAGTACATGGGCTGGCCCTGCCTGGGAGACAGGAGGCAGACAAAGTGAGAGAAAGCTCCAGTGCGAGGTGGATCAAACACAGCTGACAGCTAACCCACCAGCACTAATCCTGCACTCATCAACTGAAAATCCCCTGCTAGTGGAACAGAACCGATGCAATTGATTCTCAGACCCGTAAAAAAATTCCGCCCGGTGCACTTGATTATTTTTATCTATCATCGCTATGATATACAACACCTAGAATGACACAAGGCAGCTTTAAGCCTGCATAAGAATGGCCCGTATACAGATATATCTAACATTCTTTGCGGACAGTTTATAGCATAAGGGACTCACTGTGGCATCAGCCAGCTCAGGGGGTGCGCAATTGAACCGACAGCTCCAGGAGAGAGGGGGTAGTACGGAGAGAGTTCTGATGGGTGAGGTGTCCGAGGAATACCTGAAGAAACCCCAGGAGAGAAGAACAGAAAAAACTCCATAAGACGTCACACACCTTGGATGAAACGACAAAGAGGACCTAATTAAAGAAACAATTTACATTCAAAAGTGTATTTTTACTAGATCAATTATGTGGGGTGCTGAGGTATGCAGGGCTCAGGGAATTTCCGCTGAGGAAAAGAAACATCCATCGGAACTTGCATGATGTGTTTCAAAGAAAAACCGATTTTCTTTTTTTTTCGGGAACAGCCACAGCCTTTTTCTCGTGTTAAAAACATTATGTCCGTGTCAAACTCATACCGGGCACACGGCCTCTTTGAGTGTTTCAACACTTTCATTCCGCAAACCCAAAACAACAGATTTTATTGCCACCTGTCAATGTTACAGGCGGATTTCACGCATAAAATTAGTTCGACGAGGCACGGTGAGATATAAATCAACATCCGCCCACAACTTTACCTGTCTTTGGGTCGAGGATCTCCGGCGAGAGGTGTGACGGCGGAGTTCCGGGAGAGAAGTGTTCGTTGCTGTAGGTGATGAGGGGCGTGAGTGGGTGGACGTGGTGGGCATGCTGAACCACTGGGACCTTATTGGACTAAAGACAAGACACAGAGAGCTTCAGGTTAGCATAAATCTGACATGTGCTATCCGATGTTGACAAAAAAGAAGGAGGGGCACTTTAAAGAACTCCTTTTTTAGAAATTTGGTGACGAGTTGTTGTTTGATTCTACGATTGTGACTGTAACAGGAAAAGCTCATGCCTCGAATTAACAGGCCGTCATTTGTGAATGCTCTCCATGGTAAACATCACAGTTTATGCTTGTGACCAGCCCTGTGATGCAATCTGGACCGGCACCAAGGAGCATTTAAAAGCCTTGCAGACACATGCCAAGATCATTACGGTCATTTAGTTGAGGGGGGAAGTGTTTGTTCAGCCCAAGAAGAAAACAACAGTGCCACCGACTCTAAAAGTTGCCTCAGCGAGCCACAAACAAACACAATCAAGCCGAAGTAAACTGGATACCCATAAACATGTGGAGACATTATCTCCCACTCTGTCTGACTCCAACCACCACGAGTGGGTTACAAATACTGCTAAAGTTGGAAAACTATGTTAAATCTAAATCTAAGCTATGGGAACAACAAGCCTGTGTAGAGATTACGTGGAGTGCTTGTATTTTGGAAAAAAGAGCACATCTCTGCTGAGATCTGACCAGTACCACAGCTACTACAGGGATGAAGAAGACAATAATAATAACCAGCGTCTCCACTTTCATTAGGCAGCGCTCAGCCTAGCAGTCATTTCCCCTGGCTGCCTGGCTGAATAGAGCACTTGTTGGCTCAACTTGTCACATGGGAGGGTCAAGGGGTGGGAGGGGAGAAAGGAGTCTTGTTCCTCTAGGCTAACCTTTCTTCAATATCCTTCCCCACCCCCTTCTCAACCTCTGTCTCTCTCCAACGTGGTCTGCTGGGGAACAAGGTTTGCATTCAGACTTATGTACACTCTCTTGCTTCACGCTGCTCAGAATTGTTCCAAGTCTTGGCCCTTTTTTTTTCTTCAAAAAGTTTTCTTTTTTTATTCTGAGGAAGGTCCAACTTTTTCTATCTTTTAAATCTTTAGCGAACGAGTAAGTGCGGAGTGAGAAAAAATATTTACTGCTGTTAAACACGGCTATATTTAGAGCCCTTTGCCCAGGACATTTTTGGTTTCTGCAGACTGAGCACATAAGGTGATGATGTACGGAGCACACATTTCACACAACACAGAAAAGGCTTTGATAAAAGTCCATCGCAAAAATAGCATTGACTTACTGGGTTAAAATCCCAGGTCCCACATGTCATGTATATTTGAGTTTTGCTTTGTTGTTCTGCTTCGTGTACAATACGCCTGAATTTTCCCTATATTGTGAGGGTTGTTTGAGACCTCTAGACCTGGGTGCCAACACATTTTGGAAAGGACTTCAGTGAGAATTTGAAATGATGCCCATTAATTATTCACATCCTGGAATACATGAATCGAGTGCTCTAAACATAAGTTTGAAGGAACTAGTTCGAACTCAAGGCTGCATTTCAATTCAGCAGCCGCACCAAAACGTGGGGGAGAAAAAGAAGCGGGAACCACCAAAAACTATCTGCGTCCCACCGGCAAAAGTTCTCCTTTCCTAATAAACGATGGACACATTCTCAAATAAACTTTATTTAGGGGTAAAACTTTTAATCGAATCAATCAGTCAGAGCATTTTCAAATGAATTAAGCTCTCTGATCTCCTGAGAGTACGGAATGTGGCCTTGTACGTTTGAAAAATCAGACCCGATGTCCCAAAACACTAATGTATCAATGCCGTCTCTGACTTAGTTTATGTGTACAAGTAATATTCCTTTAAACCATGATAGCATGATCCACGAGCAAAGTGTAATCAGAAAACCGCAGGGAACATGAGCCCTGTTTTAAATATAAACATCTAGACGATGGAGCGGATACCACAGGGTATCTGCACTGACAGACACACATCATACTCTTTGCAGAGATGTGCTTCATGGGTGCTCAGCTAGCGAGAAAAAACACACGGTGTTGATCTTGAGAGTAATTTGACATTGTAAGAGGAAGGTTTTAAAGAAGAACATTTCAGCGGGACGTTTGTGCAGAAAGTCGGAGGGTTTAAAGCTAAAAAGGCAGAGGTGGCAGCACCTTGCCTGGCTGTCCAATTTGGAATGACGCTAAGAAAAGCACAGTCCTTGGTCAGCGTGGGTGGAGGGGTGGATTTCATTCAAGCAAACATGTTTTTGGATCCTGCACATCTGAATTGAATTACTAGGCAAACAGCCGATGGGGAAGAGAGCTTAGAACAAACTGAATAACCCTGCAGCTTTGTGTGTCTTTATGCTCTGCGATTCTGGGTGGGAGGCTCAGAGGCCTTTCAAAACTCCAGGAAAGACAGGGTGAAAAGAATGCCTGGCATGCTCAGAAATCCAAGCCTTGTTTGTCAACGCCAACAGGAAGCGGACGTGAGGGGAGACTGACCGTGTCATATGTCTTTAAAATCAACCATTCCAAAACTATGCCATTCATTAGGAACAACGTGTGCTCTACATCTGGCCATCGCATCTGAAAAGGTCAACAGCGTTATAATTCTAGGTTAGAAGCGTACAGCACAAGGCCGCATCAGGTTACTGGAGGGAAGATCCCAGCGGCTACTAAATAAATGAAGAGGGTTAGCAATACCAACAAATTTTATATTGACAAAAACACGGGCAAATCTCATCTGGATTGAAAGCGGTTATAAATATTTGCAATAACATCAACATACAGTAACATTCTTAACTGGTAAACACAACACTTATAAACACTATCGTGTGGAACTTCAGCTGTGAACTTTTCCTGCATGCTGAATCTGTGTCTGTTCATCCACTGAGTTTGACTGGAATCAAAGAGCTGACTCCTTATCACGTTTTTGAAGTGGATCTTGTCTCTGCAGTTGCCCAGCAGGACTGCAGACCTTAGATCAGTATTCAGTTCGGCGCTCCCGAAGCCTTTGATTTCATGATGGATCCCGGGTATTCACTGCCTAATGCAAAACGAGATAATCTCAGCGGACCCTCAGTCAAAGGTCTGCTAAAAGGATATAGGTCGAGGGTGAATATATGCGAGGTTGTGGGGTTTTAAAGAACAGCATTTAATTTAGTATCTCCACTTAAAAATGTCGTCCAGCCTTGAGACCTGAAGATTGGACCAGACATATGCAGGAAGACAAAAAGCATCTCCGGAATGCTCCTTGCTACTTCAATTAATTTAAACAATTCAGTGACTAAGTGACTTATGACGCGCTGACAGGACCAGGTCCCTCTGTGCTTTGATTACTCCAGACGCTAATACAATATTGACACAAAGAAGGTGATTCTTCTGCCCCTGTCAAGTGTATATCAGCCCCTATTTGAGCACTGAGTGCGCTGTGTAAGACACTCGCTGGTCACTTCTATCTCATTAGGGAGTCGCAGCTCCATCTAATCCAGAATAACAGTATAAGTCAGTGTAGTCTGTAATGAGACACAGAAAAAGCCTGATGCACAAATTACTGCAAGTGACTGAATGACCTCAGAGTGGGGGCCAAGCAGCATTGATATCATTATCTACAGAGTCATCCTAAAAGCTTGAGGAAAGGCAACTGGACTTTTTCAGAGTTCAGATATAAACACTCTGCAGAGCGCTCATTTCTGTGAATGTGTGTGTTAAGTCTGCATCCTCGCCTTCCAACTCCAATCCAGCGCGGTCACTAGTGATGGGCTGACAAGTTCCCCATACCGGATCACCTGGCCCTGAAGCACCTTTGATGTGTTATTCATGAGGAGGCAACCCACTGAGCACATGAGCTGATTTGGGTTTTTTTGAGGGGGAGTTCTACATGTCTGTGTGTGCTTGTACCCATGTGTGTCTGTGTGTGTGCGTGCGTGCGTGTGTGTGTTTGTGTGTGCGCACGCATGGTTGGGTGTAGGTAGAGAAGCTTGTTCCTTTCTCTCCAGTCCTCCCAGCCCATCATCACTACCACCAAGAGCAATAGCAGCTGAATGCTAAACAAACCTGTCTGCTGAATAATTAAGGATCTCAGACCAGAGCAGTGTCAGATTAGCATACGGGCCTTATGGATCCAATCTGCACAGCGCCACGATGGTGTTTTCCTGCGCTTTTTTTAACCAACGGGCAGTCTGTTTTGGATTTAGCAACAAATTTCCTTGTTAGAAACAGTCATAACTAGTTTAAATTTCAAATCTTACTGGTTTATGCAAAAATTGTTGCATGTATAGCTGGTGTCAGACCGCGTTGCTCATGAAAATCAATGCTTTGTGGCTCACTGTTTTAACATTGATGAATCTCAAGTGCTTGAATGAGAAGATCTCTCGTCTAATTGACAGCAAATCCCTCATAAGACGTCTGTCATTATTATTAGATGACAAGCAGATAAAATATGTGCTACGTATTTGAATAAAAGCTGGTCTCCACAGCTAATCCAAACCAAGCCTTTCTAGTGTCACATTTACAACCCGCTCATCTGCAGGAGAACAGGTCAGCTTCGGGAGTCCCTGCTGGTCTCTCCTCCTCAGGTCTGTTTCCCTGGCTCTTCTTGGCCCTGGGCAGTAATCCCTGGCCCCCTGTGTGTGCCCATCCGCTCCCCCTGCTCTCATTAGTGCAGTGTTGGGGCCTGGGGAGCCTGCAGGCCTGGGGAGCCAGCCTGCTGCTCCCCTCCCACTCCCCCCCCCTCTCGCTCCTCGGCTGGAGTAATGAGCACATAATCAGCCTGGCTCTCTGTCAGTAGCAGCACACCAAAGGGGCATGCGGGCACCTGGCCCAGAGTAGGGGGCTAACGGCACCAGGGATTTTTATGTGACCAGTGTGAATCATCCACAGATATAGAGCTCCCCATTCCGTGGATTGACCCCCCTGGTCAAGGGTCAATAGATGAAGGTCAGCAACTTCCTCTTTAAGTTATCAGAATAAAAGCTGTTGCACCTTCATTGAACTTCTCTACCTTTAAAACTCCAACAGAACAAAAGTGCAAGTTAAGGTCAAAGAAAACTGGATTTTCTTGAATTTTTGCAGGCTATTTGGCTCTGGAGAGCACATTTTATGAAACTTTATTGAAACAGCAGCTATGCTGTCCTCATTAGAAAAGCGTGGGGCTTTTTAAAATGCAAGGCAGTTACAGGGAATTATTCAATAGCAGTTAAATAGCGAAAAAAGCAAATGCTCCAAAATTAGGATGTGTTATTCTAGTATGGATAAAAACTAAGGCCAAAAGCAGTTTGATCATTTGCACTTCCTACATTGTTTCCTTTTGTCTTTAAATCTTAAGCTTGATGTCATTCAAACAGGCAAATGCCAAACAACACACTGAGACTACGTAAAACGAAGCAGCAAACCACGAAGGTCAGAGCAGAGATGATCAAGCACAAAGGAAACTGAACATAATTTGTATTCCTTTACATTGAATTCTGTTGCTTTTTACTTATTGATTATTATGGCTACTTTTCTTCATTTGCTTTCCCCTACAACAAAGATCGGTGCATTACGTGATGTTACATGTCAGCTTAAACACCCCAAATCTGTGGACAATACAAAAAGTTCACAGAGAAAAACCACAGGGGTCACTATTTATTTTATTAAAATATATCCCAATCTGTTTCTATTGGACCACTTGGTGCTGGAATTCTATGAGAAAACTCCTCCCCCCCATAATTTTCCATTGACTGCTTTGAATGAGAACTTAGTCATGTGCATTGCTGCAGTCGTAGCATTCAGTGAGTTAACCACAAATTCAGCAAGTATTTGTAGTCAGGACATCTGAGGTCACAATGACTCTTTCTACCGCAAACTGCTGACGGCAGCTTTTCGCTTGGTATTAAAATGACTTCCTGAACCAGACAACACCCTGATACAATCACACAGGTGAGATCCCAGATAGGTGCTCTAGGTTCAATGTTATCTTGTGTTTTCAATCCCAGTCACACATCCCTCACCAAAGCCACAAACCAAACAGGTCTGCTGAGGCGCTGCATTGTCTAAGTGGAGTGAGACACCATGATGACTGGTTCCCACCTGTGTGCGAAAGTTCAGGAATGGCAAGGCACATCGAGCTTGAGAGATTTATGAGGGAGGCTGAGTTATTGTGGTAAAGACAGACATGCTCCTCAGCAGCTGGCCTGCGGGCGCTGTGAGGGATGCAGTTCAAAATATACAGCACATGGATGGAAGGACACTGGAAGGTTTACATGCACACTATAACTTCATTATTCTGTGTAACCGCATTATGGTTATAGTTTGATGAAAGCATGCTGTATGCCTCGCAGTAAATGGATTTCCCCAACAGCTTTACATGGTTTGACTGATGATGAGTTTAATGTCCTGCAGGATGTTGACAGGGGGGAAACGTCTCGTATGAGTCATAAATCACAAACACTAAATGGTGGTAGTTATATGGTGTGAGGAGATTTGAGGGCTCATTTTTTATCCTTCCATCAGGCTGCTCTCTTGTCAGTCAGTGTTTCTAGTTTGTTCCAGCCTCTCTGAACTATTTGCTCGGTTCAAACCACGGAAGACATCAGGCCTCAGTGCAAAGTATGGCGTGATCTCTAATAATTGTGAATGACCACCCATGACATCATATTGTCTCTCGGCTCAATTTGTGGCTTTTGTTCTGGGGGTTCTTAGAATTTGATTTTCACATTTGAAAAGAAATGTCCACTTACCAAATGTCCTGGTGTTGGAGAACGCGAGTCCTTTATTCCTGCAGAGCCAGGAACATCCAAGAGAGGCCATTTCATCTGCAGGTACTGTTGGTGAGAGAAAAACATGTTTAATTTAACAAGAAGGTCGGATACAAATGCAATGTAACACATATGAAATTATAATGATACACGGTATCTGAATTAATGCATTCGAAAAGGCCTCATTTGGAGGTCAAACTGGTCGGTTCAAGAGTCTAACAAGCAGAAATCACTCATAGGGGAGTAGGCAGTTCGTCTTTTCCATGAGGAGTTTTATGAATGGTGTCAAACCCACAGAGATCAACAGCAAACACCTGTACACGACCCACACTGCTGGTGGAGGCAGACAGCGAGTTCTGGCACAGGGGAGAGGCAGGAAGAGCGATGTGAACACAACAGGGTGGTGGGGGACTGTGAAATTGCCGTTTGTCAAGGAAAAATAAAGAGGCCAGCTGTGGGCGCCCATGGCTGAGGAGAGGGTGGGAAGAGACAGCTGGAAGAGAGCCTCATCTGCACATCAGCAAAGGGCTGAGCTGCAGACCTGAAGCTCACCCCTGACTCCACGCTTCAATTCGTTTGGCCTTTTGACCTAAACACCGCTCATCATCCTCCTTCCGCTTTCACAATATTTCACATGTGTGAAAGTTATCATTTTGTGTAAGCTGTGTGTTTGTCGCCCTCCATCTTTCTTGTCACCTGACAGAGAGTTTTACAACCATCTGTCTAGCTCCTACAGCTGCCTTTGCTACTGAGCTATGTACCAGAGGAGAGGTCTTTGTGACTTCCTGCTTAATACAGCAAGTTGAGCAATTTTTGCTTTTCGTTTTTTTTAAATACTACAGCAATGACGATAGCATGAGTCCAGAGCTCCAAACCACAACAACCATCTGGTCTATGAATCAGTTTAAATACCGGACATGGCAGCTTGTCCCGTGTGTGGATTTTCTCCCTGGTAAGAACTGAAATTTATAAAAAGGTTGTTTTATTACAGAAAGTTGTTGGTTGATCACAGTTAAGGTATTATAGATCAGTTTCCGCATTGCCTACAGGGCTGAGAAGAAGATAATTGGTTATAAAATCTGTCAAAGTGGGTTGCATCTTTCATTGAAAAATACATAGCGCTGCACATGTGAATTCCTTTGCACAAACAGACTGCCAGCCACCCTTTTCAAGCATCTGCTTAGAGGAAATGACAAAAAGTAGGATTTGACACTTGGGAAAATGATGGACAAATCCAGCAAAAGAACGTATGCAAAGTTCTGTCTGCTTTTGAAAAGTCTGCAGGATAAATGATGATAAACAAGCAAACTGGAGGAGTCATCTATTCAGGTTTTGATTTTTCAAACTCCATTTGTCACTCTGAGTTTGTAAGGAGGAAGGAAGCTTGGGTGACTGTGGGTTAAAAATGGAAAAGACATTATAGCAGGAGGGGAAAAGGGAGAGGAGAGAAAAAAAACATTTTCAGGAATGAGTTTGTCGGAGCAGGCAGAAGGTATTGTTTCCTGACAGCTGGGGTCCAACAGAGCACCAAGGCAGGGGGAAGGGGTCCCTTTTTCCCTTCGAAAAGGGGGGTAATTCTTGGAGTTGACATCAGCCCTCTTCATTTTCACTATACTGCTCAAGGCTGAATCGTAGGTTCCCACTAATGGGCCCAAGTCCATACAACTGTCAGGAGGCAGTTGCTTTTAAAGGCTGCTAGCTCCCTATTGAAACTTTACTCTGCTGTGTGCATGGTGCCTAATGAATGCTGCTCTCTGGAGAGAAAATCCAAAACAATGCAGTTTTCTCTGTCTAATCTATGTCAATCATGAGTCCTTCCACAAATGAAACAAGCGCTATTGTGAGCGTTTGGTCTGGTTTGACGGTGCCCACCCCAGCCCTCCCACCCGATCCATCCCTTTTTTGACAGTTTCTGCCAGGACTCAGGAACATGCCCTCTGGCGCATTTTTCCCCTGTTTTTCCTGAGCACCTACTTTTCTTTTAATTGCCGTGTGCCCCACGCAGGAACTGCTCACGCACTTCACGATAACATCCAGCTGGGTAACAGCAGCCGCACACTGTCACATTAGCTCCCGTCCGGACTCAAGTAACGCACCGCTCACTGGGACGTAAGAGGGCTTAAAAAAGGGAGGGGTGGCTGGATCCATGAGTAGTTTCAGAAAACAAAAGGACAGGAATCGTTGGTCATGCTGCTCGGCAAAAACTTTCTCAAGAGTTTAAGATTAAAAAAGAGAAAAAAAAGAGTTGAGTTGTTAAAAAAGTTGAGACAATAAGAAATGGGTTCTTCAACCTAGTTGTGCCAAGGCTTAAGTGATCCTAGATGCTTCCAAAAGATTGATATGGAGATAGCGTAACATCAACTCAACTGCAAGGCATTTAGTAATGCTATGCACATGTCCTTATTTCATTAGAAACAAATATAGACATATGCTCAGGGTTCAGCAATGTCTGTTTCAGCATGGGACCAAGAAACTCTGGTAAAAGGGCTTGAACACAGAACAGAAAGAAATGAGAGTCTAAAGTGAAATTTAGCTGATCCATTTTCGTAGCTCTCTAATTGTCTTCCAGCTTTCCCTGCTCCATCCAGCACTCAGAATAGACATCAGTAGAATGTGCTACTTTTACAGGACCCAGATGCGACAAAGGTGGCAGTGATGCCACAGATTTTTTCCAAAAAGCCACACTGGAGCCCTCGGGTTTTTTGAACTGAGAGAATACAACATATGCTCTGGGGCATGTGGCCTGCCAGGGCTGAGTTCTAATTGTTACATTGCTCTCGCAGAGGAGAGAAAAACATAGCCAAGAGTCTTTGTCATCTCTGAAGTGTGTGGTGGCATGCTGCAGGCCAACATCAGAGCGTGGAGAGGAGGCAGATGTCTGGACATTTGCTGTCAAAGTAAGTCAGACACTTTGCCAAAGAGACAGAAAAAATTCCAAACTTTCTGAAACTATCTGTTGACTTGCACTGCCTATTAATTTGACAAAAAGTTGAGCAGAGAAAAAAAAGGAAACTATTCAGAGAGTCAATCATAGCTCCAGAACATGCTGACATACCTAAGAGCCAAGGCTATCTTTCACTTGTTACATGCTACGGCATGACATCCTAAATTGAATTAAGTCAATCAAGAGTGGGTCAAATAAAAGAGTAAATATGTAAAAAGGAAAAAAAAGTGTTTGCTCAGACAAGGACTGACGCTTGTGAGATGGCTTTAAGCCTGTGGTGAATAGCGGAGCAGCAGGAATGCCACCATGGATCGCTCCAGCAGATAATGTCAATCACCTACTGTGTGGAGAACCCCTCCCCATTGTTTTCTTTTACCCCCCAACAGAAAACAAATGGGCCACACAGCTTGCTGTTTGACTGAGGTGTTAATTACCATCCCCAGCCCATCTGAACAGCGACTTCAGACAATAACCCGGCTGGGCCTCCGCACAACGGTCCCTCCCTGGTTTACTCAACTGATATCACCTGGTCTCGCAGGGCCATTGACACCTAAACCGGATCTATGCAAGAAACACAATTAAAAGATTACAGGATAAAGACAATGTGATAAGTAGCCCCCGCCTTTCCCCTGGGTTTGCATTAAGCCTCATTGTTTCCCAACATTACAGGCAATTACACTGACAATTCTTAAGCAAACCTCCCCAGTCATTGTGCTAATTAGTGCGTAATCGATGGGGAAACGATGAGCTGAGCGGCTCAGCTGGTCAGACCTGTAACTGTACAACTGGGTCACAGCGAAGTTCTCTGACAAGAGGGGGGGGGGGGGGGGGGTACTCATCAAGTCCTCTGAAAAGAAGCCCCAAAGACAATGGAGCATTTTGATGAGGGAATCGATACGACCCTTCATTCAAAGCCACAACATTGATTTTCGTTTGAACAATATTAGCGCTGATAGGTTTCCTCTGACTTTATTTACATGTGCTATGAATCAAACACCCAATGAAAAACACACTTCTACTTGTAAGCTCCTCATTTGAATTGAATTGTTTCATTATATTAATCCCATCAGGGCCCATGATGGAGCCGAAAAAACAGCTTGCTGCTAATGGCAAACCACATTTGGAGTGTCCATTAGGCCATGGAGGAATGAAGTTAAGTGACTATGACAGGGGCACTCCCTCGGTTTGCCGGGTTTCTTTTGTGACCTGGTTGGTCGTCCTGCACTTCTCATTCACGGTCGGTAGAAAAACTGGGTCAAAGGTCAGACATCCAGAGTGCTGTGGTTTCTATGGTGACGTGGCCTGTTAAGACCAGGCTCAGTGGCCTCTTAACATGCTCTTGTACACAAAAGAACTATTAGTGCGAGGAGGGAGCGAGGGCAGCGGAGAGGGGAGGCAGCGCCGGGGAGGTCCAAACAACACGGCGTCAAGGTTCCTCCGACATTTCCAAGATGGCTCCACTCAGAGCCAGCAGGTCCATTCGCATTCAGCATATACAAGACCTCGACGTCCCATGATATTGGACAGTGAGATGCACTGGCCATCTGCTGTGTATACCGTGAAAAAATCCTTGCACCGATGTTTGTGTTGATCTGTTTCCAAGACTGGACTCGATGAGGAATGCTGTCATATGTCTACATCATACATATTCTGTCCAAGGCCAAACTGTCCAGCAATCCAGGTTTACTTGAAAAGTCCTTGAGGCGAATTTTACTGCTGTTTCAGTAATAAAATGGCATTAACAGAACACAAGGCCAAGACAAACGCCCCTGAAAAGCTTCCTTTAGCCTCCATCCCGGTGAGCGGGCTGCAGTTTAAGCAGGCCTTTGCATTTTTGCAACTCAGGCAATTAATTGTTTCTACGTTTTCTCTCCTTGTCTCCTTTTTGGCGTGGCCACAGAATTATTGCTTCCTGCATATTGACTGTTACCATGGAGCGCATATATGTTAAGTCTGCCTTACTGACTCACAGATCATCTTAATCAAACATTTGAAGGAAAATGAGGTTACATTTAGGAATAAGCGAGTAATTTAGTAAGGCAGCACACCAGCAGGCCATATAAAAACTGACTGTGTAATTAGACGCAGGAGTAAATAATTATGCATCTGGAAAGACCAAGGCCATCTCATAAAGGCAGAGAGG